GAGAGTGTATTCATCTCATACTATCTGTGGAACTAAAACTATGGGTTAAATATCAATGCAAAAGGATAAATCAGTCAAACTGATTTGTAATTTTTTGACTGAATTTAAAAATGAGAAAGTGAAAAGAAAAAACCAGAGATGGTCATTATGTACAACAAACATAAAGCGGGCGTTGATAGGTATGATCAACTGATCCATTATTGTGACATGAGAAGAAGAAGCAATCTATTCTTTTTGGCTTGTCTTTATGATCTTATCAATTGTGCGACAACAAATTCATATATATTGTTTCGTTTAAAACACCCAAATTGTCAACATAACACTTTCGTAACAAATTTGGTTTCTCAATTTTTGAAATATGCAACATCTCCTTTAAAAACGATACGATTAACAACAGGAAAAAAATAATATTCGTAAAATTGGAAATTACACACTGTTGAAAAATATTGAAAGAAGACCAAGAAAAGGAAGATGTTATATTTGTGTAGAAAACAAAAACAATACTTATACAACAAAATGGTGTTTTAATTGTTTAAAAAGTGTTTGTTCGATTCATTAAAAATACTTTTTTGTTGATATTTGTGATCGTTGTCAAAGTTTACTATAAATAATTTCAATTAATTGTATTTTTTTTAGTTTGATAACTAATTTTGTACTCTTTCTGTAATTGTGAATATAAAAACACAAAATCGTTTATTATATTTAGTTGTTTAAAAAATCAATAAAAGCTTAAATTTAATTTATAACATGTAAATGGTTTTTTAACTATTAATAATACAAATTAAATACAGTGCTAATTCCCAAAATTTTAAATGAGTATTTGAATACACATTTAACAGAAAGTGTTTTTCAAATGTTAATGATTGATCAAAATACTGATTAATTTTGATCAGTATTTTAATGGTGGGCTGATAATAATTATTTGAAGCCATATAAATACATATAATAGTTAAAAAATGGTAACGAAAAATTAGAATTGCGTGTTAAATTAATATAAACATAGAAAAATAATTAATTGGTTATTTTTTATGATAAAACAGGTGTAACTATTTTCATTGTGTAACTACATATAATAATGATTATTTTCCAATAACTTATTGTTGATAATAACATATAAATAATGATATTAAATATATATTTTCTTTTTAATTTATTTGTCTAACTACACACATAATAAACACAATTGTTATTGAATAGTGAAATAATAACATGATTATACTTTTACTTTTAATGATTTTATTATAATAATTAATATAAAATGGTTTCGCTTTTATACTTTACATGTACATTGTAAAAACGAATTATTTTTTTAAACATGAAAATCTTTTTGAATGTGTAGCCATATAATTTCAAACCAAACAAATTCTAAATTATTATAGTATAAAAAG